AAGTTTTGACATTCCTTCCTCTCCTTCTTATGCAACACAAGTGGTTACTTCATATGAAGAAGTTGATAGAGATGATGTACATGCTATTTGTAACGATCATCAAGAAGACATATGGGAAAATTAACAAGTATTTATATTCTTCATTCATAATTTATTGTATGTTATAATTTATAATGAAGTTATTTTCTAACAATTATTATCATTTAAAATTATAGGTGTTTAAAGTCAAGACATCAAGAGACAAGACAACAAGATAGTATTATTTGTTGTAATGATGTGTACATTGTAGGTTGTTTTGTACAAGTTTGATTTTGATGTAATATGAAATTTTTGATTCATAATGGAATTGTGTCATTAATGTAATACAATTTTTGGTCTAAGTCAATTCAAAAATGGTTGTATTGTTTTTTCTACTTTGACACGATTTAGAAATATTCAGGTTTACAAATCGGGAATAATGTAAAATTGAAAAATATATATAAAAAACAAATTATATCACAAGTGTTTTTAACTCAACCTTTGTTGAAAGTAGAGCGTGCTATCCAGAAGAATAAAAGGCAAGAATGGCGTTGCTTGGACACGGACCAAGACTTATAAGTTATTTCACAATGATTGTTTGATTTAATTGTTGTTATAAGTAGCATATTACCTAACTTATAACCGTGATCACTCTCCCATTATGGAAATCAGCATACATACAATCACATGCTACCTAACAACACACGTCAAATTGTCATTACATGTGTTTCACAATTGTCGTTATATGTGTTTTTCGTAATAGTCTTACTAAGAATGTATTATCTCTTAGGTAAAGTATTATTCTATAAGAAGTTGTTTGGTTGCGATTTAAACTAGTAAAAACTCTTCTTTTTTTTTTGGAATTGTCTTAGGAAATTCCCATTTGTTTCGTGAGTTTTTTCTACATCAAAATCTCTCTTTTGGTTCATGAAGATCAGCCATTAAATGCCCACAACTATTCCTGAGCTCAGCTCGGTATAAAAGCTATATCGGTTCGAGATTAGCCTGTGTAAAATATCATATCAGTTTTAAGGAAAGCCACTATAAAACTCTATCTTTGTTCGAGATTAGCCTGTGTAAAATATCATATCAGTTTTAAGGAAAGCCACTATAAAACTCTATCTTTGTTCGAGATTAGCCTGTGTAAAATCTCATCCTAGTTCGGAGTATAAATAGTGTAAAAATCCATCTCGGTTCAAGATCAAGCTATAAAGATATTTGGTTTGGAGGATAGTCACTCTAAGTTATGTTCATTGTTTGGTTGGAAGTTAGCTTTTAAACTTCATATCCTTGTAAAAAGGAGGTTCATATCTTATTAAAAACTCTCAAGTTAGTGGATACTCTCAAGAAGAATTTTGGAGGACATGAGTATGTCAAGTTATTAGGTTAAACCTGTATAAATCTCCGGTGTTGTTTCTCTCTCCCTTCTCTTTTACTTTATTTCCTTCCTTTGGATTTACATCTATTTCTTTTTTCGACATATTTACTCATTTGTTTTAAAATGTTATTAAACTTTAATTTTTTAAATGATTTTGATTTTAGCTAAGTTTTTTAAACGTTCACAATTCACCCCCCCCCCCCCCCTCTTGTGTATGGAGTCATATATCTAATTGACTCAACTTTAGAGATCAAAGTAACAAAGAAGGAAGAGAAACTCTAAGAGAGGAAAGCAAAATTGTGGAACTGATCAAACATAACAACAATGTCTCCCCTAAGAAGATTCCACAATCTCCTAACAAAAGAGAAATTTAAGTCATCAAGACAAGAACTTTTGTTACCATCACAATGAGAAATTTTTCGATCAATCTCACATGGAAGAAATGCATATAAAACAACATTATAATCCTCTAAAAGCAAGCAAAAATCAACCTCATCCAAGTGATAGTGATCCATATGAGGTTCCCTAGAGTGATTGAAAAATAAATTAACCACCTCCAACCTAATCTCAGACATCCGTTCAATCCAACCTTCACCAACCCTAAGAATTGGGAAGATTCCAAGTCTCACATTAGTTGGAGATATAACATTAAAAGAATTGATATAGAGTGACATCCATACCTTACAAGTCGATTTTGTAAGGATGAGTTTGACCAAACTTTAATATAGTATTAGAGCCTATCGATCAGACCATGAGTCACTCACTATTTAAAGTCATGCACCAAACTCAAAAGAGTGTTGGCGTGAAGGGGTGTATTAGAAAGACCCAAAGTTTCATATTGGTTGGAGATAGAACATTGAAATAGTATATATAGAGTGACACCTATTACCTTACAAGACGATTTTTAAAGAAAAAATTAGATCAAACTCTAATACTAAAATCAATAATAACTTTTTTTTTATTCCTACTCTTAACACAAAGTATGAATAAAGAAGCGAAATTAACGTGGTCTTCCTTAAACCATTTTTCTTTGAAACTTTAAAACACATAAAAATCTTTGATCCTGAATAAAGACCAAAGATCCACAATCCTCTTATTTCTAACCAAAATATCCTCGTGTTAATAAATTTTGTATTATAAAAGAATAAAAATAAAAACAATTTCCTTTACAAGTTTTGGCCATGCCAATCTCTTCCAATGTGATAAAAACTCGTTAAGAACACACTTTATTTATTTATTTAAGGATTCTCTAATAACTACATTTTAGATGCATATAAATAAAAACTACCGTTTGAAGATGGTGTTAGTTAATATAATATACCATCAACTACCAGCTTAATATTTTAATTTACTAGGTTCCCAAAAGCTTCAATGAATCATCATATATTTCATGATACATTAGATGTTACGAATATCATTCCTCTTTCTAGCTGGCTATATTGCATAGCTGGTCTACATATATCAAATAAAAACCCTTTGATTCTTTTTATAAAAAAGAAACTAAATAAAATATTTATAAAAAAAACTAGAACACTTGTTGTAGTTGATCAATTGTGTGATGTAAGACGTGAGCTCAAGCACTCATTGCTCAATTTTCCTTTTACTATTTTTCGTACTCATCTTTCTCTTTTTTGGTGGAGTCTCATCGTTTACTCAACAAGGTACTCTCTCTTGCCCTACCTATAGCTTCTTACCTACCCTAAATTCTACGCCATGCACTGATTACTAGTCCTTCGACGTGCACATAAATCTCTCTCCATAATACTAACAATCACTGAATTTTTTTATCCCAAAAATATTGAAAATTTTACATACTATGTGATAACTAATATTGCTATTAAAAACAAAGTGTAATTTATTTGAATTATTTAAGTAAATATACTTTTTGATGTAAGTTTTGGAGAAGTAGACAGTATCTCATTTCACAATCATTATTCCTAACAGGACTTACATTAATTAGTGCTTTTGATATGGAGTTATACTAGCAAGAAATCAGCCAGACAGCTTTGTATTAGCACTAATCAATTCCACTAATTGAGTCGACTTTTATGGAAAAGGTACTTAATTAGATTCAACAATTATATTTTTACTTTTTACAAATAAATTGAGGGTTGGCCAAATATGTATCTTTCCAAAAAAAAATAGTATAATATTTTATTTTTTAATAAGAAAAAAAGGAGAAAATATAAAAAATAAAAAAAAATACTAATTTACCATGTAAAGGTTTTATTTTCCATGAATTATCATATTGTTGTTTAAAACATGAACATATTAATAGTAAAATGTCACTAATTTATGCTTAAGGTGATTTAATATATTTTATTTATCAAAAGAAAAATAAAGACAAGCTGTCTAATGATAAAGTATACATCAAATGAGTATATTAGTCCTACATGAACATTTTTATTTATATATAAAATAAAGCCTAAGATACTAAAAGGAAAACAAAAAACTAGATGAAGGTAAAGAGAATGTGTTTGTATAGTGGATTTATATTTTATTATCTAAAAAGGAAATGATAATTTTTCTTATGCAAAAAAGAAAAACTAGATGAAGGAAGCTATGCATCTAGAGGTTTAAATTAATGTAAAAATTCTCATATAAGAAAACAATAAGGTGGGGCTAAAAATAAGCACCATAAAGTTTTCATGATATAACAAAACCTTATTTCGGCATAGCTAACTAGCTTTTAAATTTATGAAAACAACAGTTCATAATAAAAGATGCAAAAGGGTATACAAGTTAATTTCATAGCTTACCTATAATTATAATCAATATTACTAATTTCTTCAATGTACTATAGTTCATAAACTCTAGCTATATAATAACTTATAATAGAAAAATAAAGAATGAAGTTCTTATTCATCAAAAAGATTGTATATCAAAATTTGGTAATAGATTCACCAGTCACCACCATCACCTGAGTTTAAGAGTTACTTCAAATTTAAGGCCTGTTACGAATTCATGATAGTGTGCTTTTTCATATATATATGTATCTATACAAAATATTTAATATTTTAATTATTATAGATATATAGATATTGGTCCCTAGCTATATAGCTATATAGTATAGTACATATACATAATTCATAACTGCAGCAATAAGAGATGCGTCGTGCATGTGACAGTTTTTGCAGTACACTTACATATCAGAATGCCAGCATCTTCTCTTTTCATCTCTCATTGCAGTAAAAAGATGTAATTTTCGTACCTTATTTAATTTTTTTTCATGCCAATAATTGAATCTTTTAATGAGTTTGTTTAAACCATGATCAGATTTATAAATAAAAACTAAATTTCTTAAAACTTTAATAACATCATATAACAAATATATATCTATGTAAAGATATAGCATTGTTGAAAGTTCTTCTTAAAAACCCTAACATGATTCTATGAAAATCACACCACACTAGCAAGAAAAAATGGACATAAACATAACAAATAACATATATAATATATTTATATATGTATATATATTATATATTTTTGCATATTAATTAATTAACCATTACCAAAACTAATAACAGTAGTAATTAATTATAATAATTAAAAGAAAAATTAAGAAGCTAGCATCAGATCAGACTTGTAATTACTTGATCAATCTTTAAGAGTGTTGACTGCTTGAGTCATGTCCGTCGTCATCTCCTCCTCCACCTCCGTCGTGGTGTTGTCCGGAGGACTCGGACATACCATTTGCAGAAATATGCCTATAGGCATTCATGGCTGAAAGCATATTTAAATTGCTTTCAGCCAGAATACCACCGCTTCCTCCGCTGCCGCCAATGATTCCAGAACCATATTGACTTGCTGGCATTAGATTCATTGGAGAACCAAAATTCATGAAATGAATTCCGTTAGGAGAAGACATAGAACCTCTATATAAGCCATTATTTGCAACAGAAGGAATTGCCCAGATTGGATCATTTCCATTTCCATTACCATTACCACCACCACTATTAGCACTTTGGTTCCCATTACCGGTTACCATCCAAAACGCTGCCGTATTGGAAGCATGGCTTGAAGGAAGTGACCCCACATTTGATTGTAACAAATAGCTTCCCATATTTTGTGATAACAATTCTTGCTCTGATGACGACCTTCTTTTTCTCCCTATACTTCCGTCAGAATCAGTACCCAACAATTCAAATCCTCCGCTGCCGCCTCCTACGGAGGTAGTATTTTCATCCCGCAGCTCTTGTTTTGCTTGAAGTATAGCATTTTGCACGTTGTTGAAATTCAAAATCGCTGATAAAGAAGAAGGATTCTCTAACACAGTGTTAGCTCTTCTAGAATCTTCCGCTACAACGTTCATGTTCATAGTTCTATCCCATTCAACGCGGTTTCGAAGCTGAGCCGCCGCGGCGGCCGTGGAAAATGAGCTAGGGTTGAAGTAATTACCTCTAAAATAGTGCGATGGAGCAGACATAGTTGAACCAGAGCTTCTAAGAGAGATGTTAAGACTCGTGAAATTCGCTGGGATTGTTCCTGTTCCCGTTGCGGCTATAACCGATGGCTCAGCCTGTTGAAGTAGCCACTCGATCGTCTCGCCGTCGGATTTGTGTCCCAGCTCACGCGTGAGCTGGAAGACTCTCGCGGCACAGGCCGCCGGCATACGGATCCGACGGCCTCGTCCATCGACCTTCGTGTGCCGATCTTTCGTCGAGGCCCGCTTTGGCGGTGGCTTTTTCTGTTGGTCTGGTGATACGATTGCAGTAGAAGAACCGTCGTTTGCGGTGGTTGAACAAGGTTGTTCTTCGGAGACATGTTCGATGATGTTGTTTTTTTCTAAAAGCTGAAGAGGGAAATTTGGTCTGCTTCGGATTCCATTACTTTGATGATCACCTTCCAATTCCATGATCGTTCTATTTCATATAACTAATTTCTCTCTCTATAATAAGCACTTTTTTAAGAAAAAAATGGTGGGGTTTATTTTTTTTCGGAAAAAAAGCATTTTTTTTTTTTCACTCAATAAATTGTGTATGTGTGGGGGAAGTAAGACAAGAGATGAGGTGACACACAAATTGTAATGGTTAGTGGGAACTTGGGACTGCAGCTGAGTTGTTCACTGTGATGAAAAGAGAGAGAAAGATAGAGAGAGAATGAAAATGAATGATAGAGGATAAGGGAGAGGAGGGGAAGCTTTAAGCAACAAATATAATGAGTGGGAATAATAAGGGGTTTTAGTGAAAATTTTAAAAGCACTAGTTTTCCCTTTTCTCTTTTTTGTTGTATTTTTATTTTTGATTTTAGGATGGAGTCATTTTGGCTAGTCTTCTCTCATTTTATGACTTTTTTTCTTATTTTCAACTATTTAAAGAAAAATCTCTATCTTATTTCATGACTTTTCATCTTCTTATAGACAAATATTTTAAGTAAAATTTGACATTAGTACCTTGTGCATGAAAAGGAATATAGGTGAGTTCACTAAATGTGGTAGATTTATAGGAGAATAAAACTTTTAAGTAAGAGAGTGAAAAGTGAAGTTTGAATAAAAAATATTTGAATATTTAAAAAAATTGCATGATTTTTTTTTATAAATAGAAGAATAGATTAGCAACCAAATGCAAGTGATGATGAGGCGTGAGATATAGTCTGTCGTCAGATCAATATGGAGGATTAAGAGAGGGCTCACAAGAGAGATTACCTGCTTGGTGGAGAAAAGAAGTTCACTAGCTTTGCGCCAAACACATTCTTCGTCTTTATTGAGCTTTAACATTTTTGGACTTTATGAGCGGTCTGAAACCTATAGATATTTTAATAATATAATTAAAAAAATAAGAGTGAATCAATTTGAATTACACAAAAATTAAATTTTATTTTATAATACAAATTGTGGAGATTATTGGAATTAATCATATTGAGCTTGGCTCTTTCTTTATTAATTCAAAATATATATACACAAAAGGAGGTACTTCTATCCCAAATAACAAATTAACAAAACCAAAATAATTGTCATAATTGTAAAAAAGTTATAAACATAAACAAATAAAGTAATTTAATACCCCCTTAAGTTGGAGCATAATTATTGGAAGTTTTCAGCTTGGACAAGATGAGAGTAAAAGGTTCAGGATTAAAAGGTTTTGTCACAATATCGGCTAGTTAGGTAGAACTTTAAATTGATGGCAATTGAATTAACTTAGTTTTCTTACCATGTGACAATTGATTTCTATGTATTTAGTCATTTCATGAAATGTTGCATTTGCTGTAATATATCGTGCAGATTACTTATCATAGTTGAGAAGCGAATGAGTGATGAAGTAAACATTAAAATCAATTAACAAGAAAGTTAGCTATTTCAACTCACAAACTGTGTAGGAAAGGACCCTATATGCAACCTCGGATGAGGATTTAGAGACTGTGACATGCTTTTTGGACTTCTAAGAGACGAGAGAGTCACCCATAAAGATGTGAAACCCAGTGATGGATCGTCAAGTGTTGATGCAGGATGCCCAATTTGGATCACTGAATGCTTTGAGTTAAAGAGTGGAAGTGGAATGAAAGAATAAGCCTTGAGAAGGATATTGCTTGATGTATTTGACGACCTTATAAGCAGCTTGTAGATGAACAGTTGTAGGTGATAACATGAATTGGTTGAGTTGTTTAACTGAAAATATTAGATCAGGTTTGGTGGTGCACAAGTAGATTAACCTACCAACGAGTCTCCTATAAGCAGTAGGATCAATGGGGGAAAGAATCATCGAATGTAGTGTAGTTGTGTAATTTTGCCATAGCAATAAGAGTGGGTTTTGCAGTAAGAAGGCTCATGTCATAGAGCAATTCTAGAAAATATTTTCTTTAACATATAGTAATGCCAAGAGAGAAATAAACTACTTCAATGCCTGAGAAGAATTAGAGGTTTCCAAGGTCTTTAATCTTGAACTCGGTGTCAAGGTTGGTTTTAAAGTTTTAATTTCATCAAGGTCATTCCCATAGATAATTAAGTCATTAACATAGATGAGTAAAATGGTGAAATCTTTACCATCTAACTTGGTGAAAAGTGAGTGATTTTAGGAGGATTATTTACAGTGGAAATAAACAAGTAATGTGGATAATTTCGAAAACCATTGTCTATTGGTCTGATTTAAACTATATAATGATTTTTGGAGCTTGAAAACATGGTTAGGAATATATGGAATCAATCCTGGATGGGATGTAATGTAAAAATCCTCATCAAGATCAACATGGAGGAATGCATTGTTTACATCTAGCTGAATCAAATGCCAATGGTTTTGAAGAAGCAGTGGCCAAGAGAAGTCTAACAGTTGCCATTTTTGCAATAGGTGAGAAGGTGTCTATATGGTTAATGCCTTTAGTTTGTGTGTACCATTAGCTACTAAGAAAACTTCGTATTTCTTTATGGACGCGTTAGCATGTCTTTTTATTTTGTACACCCATTTGCACCATATAACTTTCTTGTTGGAAGGTAAGGGGGTCATGATGCAAGTATTATTATGTTGTAAGGCTTATAATTCAGCAAGTATGGTCTGGTGCTAATACTCATGTTGAGATGTTTACTTAAAGGAACTAGGTTCATTTTGAGATGTAATGTAAATAATGTAGTTATTTAAGGTTGAATGAAAATGATGTATGGGCAAGGTTCCTCGGTGCTTTGTTTTAATGATGTCAAAACTAGAAATATTTCGTGCTTATATGCTTTGGACGGTATCACTTTGTCTTACCTTGCATTCACCCCTTTAATATGTGTAAAACGGTCCAAATACATGAATGTAGGTGTTGTACCCCAAAATTTGACCAACCTTTTCTTTCTAACTTGGCTTATGTTTCATTTTCATTTAGCATTTGCATTTGCATAGCATTGGTTCTATCGGGGGATCAAGAGGTGTTGTGTTTTTCATTGAAGAAGAGATCTTCATGTTCAAGCTCAAGCAAGGGTATCATTGGTAGCCATCAAGAGTTCATTGCCATCAGGGTTGGGTTTCAAAGCTTCTTGAGGGGAGAGGTTTGTGTATGGGTGTCACCTTATATCTTGAGGATCATTAGAGAGTCATGAGGTCATTTGTTTGGACAAAACATGTTTCAATAGCTCAATGTGTATCTTGGGGGGTCTTTATGGAGTTTGTATGGTCATTCAATTCATCTGCAAGAGCCCTAGTCAAAGGGTATGGTATTAGGGTTTCATCTGGTCAACCAAAAGTCAACTGTGGACTTGAGAGGACTCAAGATTTGGTTCTTAACCATTGAAGACATGAGAAGTCATCTTGAAGCATCTAGGATGTCATTTTGAGATCAAATCAAGGGGATTCAAAGAGTTCAGGGAGTTACTAAACTAGGGTTTCAGATGATTTTAGTGTAAAATCCCCTTTTTGGTGCCTAACTTCAAGGACAATTTTCACTATGATGCAAGTTCAATCTAATTTTCCAACAAACATGGGACTTGTTCATCGTCTTTCAAGATTTCTTTTGAGTACAAGAACTCATTCATTAAGTTTGTACATCTCAAGTTATAGTGTCAACAAGTTGGTGTCATCAGATGAAAAGAATTGTGGTCAACACAAAGTCAACTCACTTCCAAGGCAATTTTCACATGGAACCAAGTTCTTTCTCACTTTCAAGTGAACATTAAAGTTGTTCTTCATGATCTTAGCTTTCCAAAAAGTCCTATAAGTCCCCATTCTCATGTGTGCATCTCAAGTTATGGTCTTCACAAGGCAAGGGTATTTTTGGAAACATCATTATAGGTCATTCACTTCAATGACCAATTTCATGCACTTCAAGGCATCTAATCCAAATTCAATGAACATGAAAGTTGTGTCACATTGCCTTAACATCACAATAAACTAAAAATTCACGATGTTTGATAGTTTATGTGATCATTTGAGTCATATTGGAAGTGGAAACTTGATTTTGGATATGTTAGGAGTTACTTTCATTACAAGTCATCTAATGTTCTTGTTTTTGAAACTTTGAAGACCTAACATCATCAAATATTGGACATGATGTTACCTCTTTTGGAAAAACATCCATCCATTTTTCATGCCACTTTTTCACATTTCATACTTTAAAAAGTCATGGCACAAAACCTTACACAAACTCATTCTAAATGACTCAAACCAATACAAATCATTTCCACACACCTCAAGTGTGCATTTGCTGACCCAAAATGAATGGAAAGAGCCATAACCCGTGTGCATGAGTAAAGTGAGAATTTTTGGCAATTTTTGAATTCACACAATACAAGCATTATGGGCCTGCATGGAGTCCCCAAACCCACCATATAAAAGCTCAGAAGCGTGCCCTAATGATACGAAGAGGCTGGCTGCGTGAGAAGAAGAGAGAGCACTTCAAAATTTCACAAACTTTCATTTCTTCGAATCTCATATTTCCCTGGGTATTGCTCCAAGATTTTGCTCCAATCATCATCACTAAAGCTCAAGGAAGAGGTTAGAGGTGTTAAACTGAAGCTTGCAAGCATTTTGAAGGGTCAACGCAACCACTCTGTTTGGTAACTTTTTCAACTTAAAACTCCCATTCTAAGCACAATTATAGGGTCATTGCTGGTGCATATGAAGTCCTATGTGTAAGAACATAGATTGTTTCTTAATAATATCTCTATGTTTTGATGATAACTCTTATGAAATTTTGTATTAAAGAATTATATACTCTAAAATTGGTTCATGAATATTTGCTGCAGATAATTAAAGTATATATACTTCCAAGAGAAAATTAATCTGAACATAGAACAATGGAAGGCTCTAAAGAGTCAGAATCATCTTATAGAAGAATCTGAACGCTGTCTGCAGAAGGATCTGAAGCAGAAGCTACAGAAGAATCTGAAGCAGAAGCTACAGAAGGATCTAAAGCAGAAGACTCTAATAAGATCTAAAGACTCTGAAG